GAAATTTATTTGGGCTCTCTGCTTAACAGAGTGATCTGATTGATAGGTCTGCTCATGATGGTCAGGTGTTGTTTGAGTTTGTCTTGAGTTCTGCTCACCTTCAGGAAGCTATGAGAGCCTTCCAGAACATATGTAGAGGCTAAGCAAATGAACATCATGAATATGGATACAGCACTGGCTGATTGCAGGGGAAGGTGGCCCCATTGCATGCTGGGAGTGGTATTTATGTTCTGTGAGCACATGGGTTCAGCATCTTACCTCAGAGCAGACTGAACCAAGCCAAGCTAGATGCACCCTACAGTAAGCTGACTGAGGGGAGCTGTCTGCCAAAGATCTGTCTGGTATCACTGGAGGATTCGCTTGGAAGATTGGAAGGAGGCCACCATTTTGTCCTTGGGCCTTGTGAATACATACATTGAGAGATCTTGGGGACTGTGTGCTTGCTACAGCTCTGTTCAACAGTGCCCAATTAAGAGATCAGCTAGATGTCCTCAGTGTGAATAGTTATAATTTTGGAGTATCCTTCCAATAATCAGTAACAACACTTGTGGCCTGACACAAACAGAGACCCTAACTATCGGCCTGGTCTTAGTCTCAAGGCGCCAACACTGAAATGAGGTGCGTGCACGATCTTACTGACCCGGGTCTGCTCTGAATACGCTGGTGACTCTGAACAGAACAAATGTCTCTCCAACAAGCATACGGTCTTGCCGTATATGTTGCTTAGTTCCTCTGCTCTCATCAGCCTTCCTGGCAGCAATCTCATCAGCTTTCTGGCAGCAATCTCTTGTTAGTGATGTACGCTTTCACACCTGGATGTCATCGGATTCTCAGCTCACAGGCCCATTCATTCAGCATTGTCCAAAGCATGGCTGCAGTCTCCTCTTCCTGTTCACTAAACTCCAACTCTGTGTGAAAAACCTCACCTCTTCATGAATATACAAATATCTATGCAGTCTGAGCCTGTGTTAGAAAAACAGTGACATCTTGTGGCTAAACCGCAGAATGTCAGTCAAAACATTAATTTACTCCACACAATAATTTACTGCACACAAACAGTGTTCAAACAATGAGAGCTGTTTCCCCATCTCACATCTCCATTTGCCAAAAGGGCAGCCAACTTCTTGTTCAGGGTCACACAGCGTCCAATGCATGCCTCACCATTTCCTCTGTGCTGAATCACAAAACCTGTTAATTTCTCTGCCAGTTTGTGTCTGTGTCAGATCTAATTATTGTTTAGCTCTCACCTGCAGAACAGTAGGTTGAGAGACCATAAGGATTGTAAGATATGTAGTTTCTTCACAGGAAGTGTCAGGTCTCAGACTACAGAGGTCATGTCACGTTTAGCCTGCAGTTTCCTGCCTGTGGAATTCATACCTCCTTGCAGTGCTTCTGCTAGACATGTGTCTTTATTCACACGTGCTGCTCACCTATGGGTGTCACCTGTTCTCCTGTGGTTTTATATCCCTTTCCCTTCTATCCCTATATAAGATATGCTCAGAGCAGCCTGCACTGCCTGAGCAACTTCCCAGTTTGTCTGAGCTCCTGGTTTGCAGTGCATTACTTGTATTCTGTGTCTGACATCCCATGTACAGACCCGGCTTCGTCTACTGGTTTTGTTTGCCTGCCGCCCACACTGACCTTTGGCTTGATTCTTGCTCCTCTTCTGTCTCCTGCTATCTGTACTCTGCACATGCGAGTGGTCTCCACATGATCATCTGGGCACACCTGGATGCTGCAACCTGGTTCCAGCTTGCTGAAAACCATCCCTACCATCAGGGGCTTTGGTACAGTGTTTCTCAACCCTTTTCAAGGCAAGGCACCCTGTAAAATGCTTGCCAATCTTGAGGCATCTCATTCTAAAGTGTAAAATACTAAACTAATAGTTTAAGATCATGCAGAAGGAGAGGGTCAAAAGAATAGCAAACAAGAATGTCCTCTGCGGACTTATATTGTCCTTATCGATGTATGAGGTCATCAGTTGTTAGGATGCCCGCACGGTGCCCAAGGTTGTATTTTGCACAATAAAAACCTGTCACTTCGTGGAACAGAAAAGGTGGACTCCATCCACCTTTCGGCTTGCTGACAGTTTTTTGGTAATTTGGCACAATTTAAGGAATTTTGCCAAGGCACCCCTGAGGAACCCAGAAGGCATGCTGGTTAATAAAGGCTGCTCTGGTGAAGACGCAGGCTTGGCACTTAGACTCCGTGTCCTGGGGAACCCCAAGTTGGCGTTCTACAAGGGCTCACTACCACAGAAACCTGACAGGTCAAGAATTACCCAGTGCAGTGCCATGCTGAATACCTTATTTTCAACCACAAACAGTAACTTCTGACACTGGCATATAAAGATTTACTCTACTATTGGCTGTGCGTACACAGCAACAATGACATCATGAAACTACATGAGCAATGCACATCTGATGCAAGCAAAAACACAAGGTGCAGGTAGGATGGTTTATAATGCCTTTAAATGTTTGCATGTGTTTTTTTGAAAAGTCTGTATAAAGCAAAATTAGTGGTATAAAGGGGTTTTGGATTTAACCAGTCAGTTTTCACATATGAATTCTGCATGAGCCATGTAACAAGGGGCATGGCATTGGCATGTCCTTGACCTACATACTTTGTACTAAAAGGCTTCCTTCTGTCTAATCTCAGAGTTCTGGTAGGTATGTATGAGTGTTTGTAACAGTGTTGTACCTGTGAACCACTGATGGCGTTTTCAGACTTAGGCCTCATGCTCACTGAACGGTTTGGCTATGTCTCCTGGACGCCTTTCCTCCTGGCATTTTAGCAGAAAAAATGTTTGACACTTGTAACCGCGCATAACACGTTTAGGCGCATCAAGCACTTGGGCGTTAATTCATTTCAATGGCCCAAATAAATTATTATGGCCAATAAAATGAATTAACGCTGAAGAGCTAAATGCATCTAGCAATAACAAGTGCTTACATGCGTCAAGTGTTTTTTCTTCCAAAACGCCACTGCTCGTGGACGCAGTGGCAGTGGATTTTTTTTTTTATCTGCGTCTAAACACCTATGAATACATTTAACACACAGGCTAACATGCAGAGGCATTTAGAGGCAAAAAGAAAATGCCAGATGCCTCTAACATCAGCGTTAAACATCCAGTGTGCATGAGGCCAGCATGGATAGTGGAGATGAGCTTATTGATTTAAAAAAAAAAAAAAAAAAAAAAAAGGGGAGGGTTTTGCCATGCTGTCTACACAACCTCGGTAGGGCAGAGGATAGGGTTTCCCAGAGCAGAGGACAGGGATCAGCAGCACGGAGAGCAGAGTTTTTCAGGGCAGAGAACAGAAGTCAGTAGGGCAAAGAACAGGGGGTCAGCAGGGCAGTGTACACGGGTCAGCAGGGCAGAGAACAGGGGCCAGCAGTGCAGAGGGCTGCTAGGAAAGTGTACAGTAGTCATCATTTGGAAAATTATTAAAGTATATCTAAATCCAAGGCCTTTTCTTTTTCATTTTGGATAGTTGAGTAGAGAAGGGTTACAACTTCTGTCAGGTTTGGACATATGTGACAAGAGGAAGTCAGAGGAAATCTTTTCAAATTGAGACAAATGGCCTCATTGTCCAATCACAGGCTGGATAGAAGCATTTCTGGGGGAACAAAACTTCAGCAGATATCCAAAAGGGACATCTTTAAGAGCTTGAGAAGAAAAGACAGCTCTGTACACGTGGGTGTGATTCCAAAACGTAGGTGTTATCAAGTGGATGTGGCTTCACAGTGTATGCCTTGCTGAAACAATAAATAATTTGGTCAAAAGTATGTAATGGAGGCTGCAATCACACCAGGGCCAATTCTAGCCTGTTTGATGTGGGGGGGGTGCAACTAAAAATGACAGGTGGGCAGAGGATGGGAGGTCAGCAGGGTGGACAGTGTTCAGGAATCACTAAAGCAGTGGACAGGGGGTCAGCAGAGCAAAGGGCAAGGGACATCAGTTTGTAGGGCAGTGTATAGGGGTCAACAGTGCAAAGGACAGAGGTCAGCAATACAAGAACAAATATGTCATTGTCATTTGGGCAATTATTAAAGTATATCTTAATCCAAAGCCATTTCTTTTTCATTTTGGATAGAGTAGAGAAGGGTTACAACCCCTCTCAGGTTTAGGACATCTGTAATCACAAGACACAAGAGAAAGTCAGAAGAAATCTTTTCAAAATTAGACAAATGGCCTCCTTTCAGGGGTCACAAGGGTGAAGGACAGGGTTCAGCAGTGCAAAGGACAGGGGTCAGCAAAGCAGAGGAGAGGGGTCAGTAGGGCAATGCACAGTGGTCAGCAGGGCAGTGTAGAGGGGTCAGTAGGTCAGTGCACTGGGGTCAGAGCAGTGTACAGGGGTCAGCCAGGCAGAGTATAGAGGTCAACAGTTTAAAGAACAAGGGTCAGCACAGCAGTGTACAGGGTCAGCAGGGCAGTGTACTGGGGGGTCAGCAGGGCAGAGGACAGGCTAGGGGTCAGCAGGGCAGTGTACAAAGGTCAGTAGGGCAGTGTACAGTGCTCAGCAGGGCAGTGTAGAGCGGTCAGTAGGTCAGTGCACTGGGGTCAGAGCAGAGGACAGGGGTCAGCAGGGCAGAGGACAGTAGTCAGCAGGGCAGAGGACAGTAGTCAGCAGGGCAGAGGACAGGGGTCACTGATGGCAGGGCACTCAGCAGAGCTCTTCCTCCCCACACAGCATATAGTTGAGATCAGATTTCCGTTCAGCCACAACCTCAGTCTGCACAGTGTGTAGCTAGCACACTGCATAGATTGAGGCTGTTTGCAGTGTGTGAATGTAAGAAGTAGCTCAGAGGGCAAGGAACAGCGTAACTGAAATCTGGGGGGGGGAAAAGCCCTCCCCAGCATACTCTAGTTCCGAACATAATTCATATTGACATGCATATTTTGTGCATGGGATGCAGATTTGCTGGTAGAGCTAGCAGAAGATCATAACATATGCAACTAAAGTACCCGTATTTAGACTCATACAACGTCTAGATCCCTTTTGCTATCTACACCACTAAATGCAGTGCACATTTTTGTTTTTGGGCACAGCTGTGTGCATGAGCCCATTCATTCCTATAGTACTGTGCAGGGGCGGACTGATAACTCATGGGGCCCCTGGGCAATGGGGGATCATGGGGCTCCTGTGTCCTTGCCCAAACTCAAAAAAGCCTATGAAAAAGGTACCAGGGGCATCTCATGGGGCCACCTACTGACCCTGGGCCCGAGTTTCCAAATGGTCAGTCCGCCCCTGGTACTGTGTTTAGATACATACAAAACTATTTCAACACTAACCAAATAGCTGCATGCAAAGGATATAGATATACCACAATATCCTACAAAGTAAAAAACAAGAAAAGATTGCAGTGTTAAAAAAACTATACACTGTACACCACCAAAACACGCCATTTTAGAGAAGGAAAACAAAAAAAATGGTGCACTCGTTTTAAATAAAAAAATAATATAGTGCTACACGTCTTAAGGTTAATAATAAATCTATCCTAAAGTGGTGGTATGTGCAATACAACAAAGTGCTAACTTGCCATAAATTCATAATTCCATAACTTCATATACAGAAAACCATTTTGTCAATCAATTCACATAACCAATACATAAAAATCGTCAACATCCGCACACCACCAAAGTACCATAGTGCATAAAGACAATAAAGTGTGATTAGATGCAACACCTATGATAATTCTCAGAGATAGTACAAACATACATAAATGTCCATGAACAAGATAGGCTTAGAGTTCTTCCACTGATGCCGTGATGGAATATTCAAGACCACCACCATCAATAAAAAGTGCTCATCAAAAGGTTAACCTGCACATTATAAGAGGTTACAACAGCATGGTTCTCCACTCATCGCAAACATAGCAGGTCAGTATCAGATGGATGTCAAATGGATGGCACCCAAGACACCTCCACTCTCCAGTCTCAGTCACAGGAAAAGGCTTTATGATCGATTTATTATTAACCACTTCCCGACCACATCATCATGTGTGGCAGCAAAGCGGGCAGGGGGTGCATGCATACGCCCATCGGCCTGGCTGTGCTGTGATTTGTTACAGCACAAGCCGATCACCAGGTTCTGGCCAATTATTGACCGCCAGGACCTGTGGATTGGCTCAGTCTTTCACCAAACACAGCTCTGTGATTGTAAACAACACAGAGTTGTGTTCACCGACAGGGAATCTTGCATTTTTTAATTCGCTAAGCAAGAAATAAAACAAGATCCTTAGTAAAAGCACTACAAATTTCACACAGCTAGGCGCACAATTAACCCCTTGATTGCCCTAGATGTCAACTCTTTCCTACCGAGTGTCTTTAGTACAGTGATAATGCATATCATTAGCATTGATCACTGGATTAATGCCACTAATGATGTCAGTTCCCCTCCAGTGTCAGATAGTGTCAGATTACCCTCCGCACTATCGCTGATAACTGCCATAAGTCTCAGTTCACTGCTACCTGAAAGTCGCACGACTTGCAGTGCAATTCTGCCATGCAACTTGAGTACTACTTTGAAGCGACTCTGAAGCAACTTTCAAAGGAATGCTTGGGTAAACTTCCTGTAATGTTGGATCCAAGTCACATCAATATAGATGAGGATCCAACTTGGAGGCGACTTCTTTTAACCACTTCATGTCCTGACACTTTTACCCCTGTCCTGTCCAGGCCAATTTTCAGCTTTCAGCGCTATCACACTTTGAATGACAATTGCGCAGTCATGCAACACTGTACCCATAAGAATTTTTTAGAGACAGATAAAACTTTATTTTGGTGGTATTTATTCACCACTGGGATTTTTATTTTTTTTTTTGCTAAATAAATGAAAAAAAGTCCAAAAATTTTGAAAAAAAAGTGTTTTTCTTATAAAATTTTGCAAATAAATAACCTTTCTTCATAAATCTTGGCCAAAATTTATTCAGTTATCTTTTTAGTAAAAAAAAAAAAAATAACCCAAATTAGTTTATAACCAAAAATAATTTTTAAAAACTTTTTTTTTACATTTTATATATTTTTTTTATATTATTTATGGTTTTTTTTTTTTTAACATACTGTCACCATAGTGACACTGTACTACTTGTGGGGGATGAAGATTTTTTTTTTTTTTTTTTTTAAACTGATTGCTTTTACACCCATAAAGTCTGTAAATGCAATCATTTCTACTCTCTGGCTGCATTCTTGCAGCCATTGAGAAATACTGTGTGAGCTGTGATTGGTCACAGCTTGTCACATGGTACAAGGCTGTTGCGAATAGCCTTGTACCATGTGATCTCTGTGATCATTCACAGATTTCACACGTAGTAAGCAATGATGTCAGAAGTGACATCTTGCTTACTCCTATTCATGTGATCACTGATTGGCCAATCAGTGATCACAAGATCGGGACCTCACACAGAGGTCCCATACGGCGATCGGTGTTCCGCTGTGTCTGGAGGACTCCCAGGGAACGCACACAGTCCAAAATGGCGGGCACCGTTTATGAACGGTAACCCGCTACTGCACTGCCACCGTCTGGCCGTTTATATACATGGGCCACCGGACGGAAACTGGTTAAAGTATATTGATACAAGTCGGATAGAAGGCACCTTGAAGTAGTACAGGAACCTTTTCTAAAGTCAGAGTGACTAAATAAGACAGCTTTCATTAATTAACATGGGATTTCACATGTCATGTGACTTGGGGTCTCACAAGTTGGATCCAAAGTCACAACAGTGTGAAACGAGCCTTAGTAGTATTAAAAAAATACATAAAATAGAAATTCCTCTACAGATCCCATAGATTGTAGAAATATACTGTAACTTTCACACAAACCAATCACTATACAGTTGGGATTTTTTTTTGTACCATAGACGTGTCAGAATTAATTTTAACCAAAAATGTATGAAGAGATTATATATTTTTTTTCATTTTTGTTATTGGATAGGTTTTATAACAGAAAGTAAAAAATATTGTTTGTTTTTTTTTTTATTCAAAATTTGTTGGTCTGTTTTTATTTATATCGCAAAAAATTAAAAACCCAGTGTTTATCAAATACCACCAAAAGATAACTCCATTTGTGTGAAAAAAATGATATAAATTTAATTTGGGTACAGAATAGCATGATTGCACTGTTAAAGTAGAGCAGTACTGCCTAGCAAAAAAAATGGCCTGGTCAGGAAGGGGGGTAAATCCTTCCGGAGGGCACGTGGTTAACCTTAGGAAGTGTAGCTCTTTATTGACTTATTCATTTAAAGAGACAGTGCATCATTTTTTGTTTTCCTAGTCTGTGCTTATTTTGTATTCGGATATAGAGGGAGCTGCAGTCTTGACTATAGTTAAACACCAAGAGCAGATTATTTTCTGGTCGGTTTATAGTACACCATTTTAGATGCCCATGTGAACAAGCCCTATACAGTGCAGGAGTCAGGACTATGCCACATACAGCGCAGTGCATAGGGTGCAAGGGCTATGCCGGCCATAGATGGTTTGAAAATCGGCCGATTTTTCAGCAAAAAAAAAAAAAAAAAAAAAAATTTGCCCGATTTTCACACCGTTAGTGGGTTAATTGTCCGGCCATTTTTCGGGTATTTTGCACAGTTTTTTTGATCGGTCATGTTGGAAAATTTGGCTGATTTTCCCGGCACCGATGGGCAAATCGTCCGATCGTTTTACCGATAAAAAAAATCCGTGCATGAGCCGTGACCTGCAAGGGACAGAAGTTATGGGGTGAACTTTATGATTTAGTCGGCCAATTTTTTTTTTCGTTGGTGGTAACGTCGTCCAACACGAACGACCAATTTTTTGGGGGTTTTTAGAAAAATCGGCCGATATTCAACCAGTCTATGGCCTGCATTAGTTTTAAGTACATTTTTTTTTTTAAGTTTTACATTCCTGATCAGTACAAAATTAAGATTTTTGCCTGGAGCTCAGTTTCAAAGTTCTGTTCAGCTGAGTCAGCAAATGAGATAGTTTTAAAAGTCACATTTAATTGGTACAGTGGGAAGCTGGTCTCATGGAACACTGCACAATAAAAAAATAATATGTTTATCTTGCAAACTGACACTGTAAGGTTTTATGCATGCAGGCAGCTGAATATTTGCCTGTCTGTTTACGAGCAGGTGGAGGAGACGCTGAAGGATATAAAAGCTTTTGATGTCTGGCCTATTACATCATGTTATAGCTCAACATTGAAATATAAAGGAACTTGCTGCTTTTCTTTAGGGTAGCCCTACCTTTAAATAGAGAAGAATTGCTCTTCCATTACCATTTAAAGCAGAGCTTTCCCCCTTTACTGAAATTCACATTCTACATGCTTATGTGAAATCTAATCATTTTTTTTTTACCTAGTGTGTGAACACTTACCTTGCAAAGCAACCCATTCAGTTTTCAAATGCTGGTAATACTTGTGAGCTAATATGGTGATATTCAAAAAGTGCCTAAATTAATCAATCAAAATTAAATGCACATGTGGTTCGCTAGCTCCTTACACTAATGCAGGCCATAGATGGGTCGAAAATCAGCCGATTTTTCGGCCGAAAATAAAATCGGCCGATTTTCAGATCGTTAGTGGGCTAATTGTTCGGCTGTTTTTCGGTATTTTGGTAGATTTTTTTTATCGGTAAAGTTGGAAAAAAATCGGCCGATTTTCGCGGCAATGATGGGCAAATCGGCCGATCTTTTTACCGATAAAAAAAAAATAGAAGGAGGAGGAGAAGAAGAGGAGGAAGAAGAAGAAGAAGAGGAAGAAGAAGAGGACGAAGAAGAAGAAGAGGATGAAGAAGAGGAAGAAAAATAGGAAGAAGAAGAATGAAGAAGAGGAAGAAGAAGAAGAGGAGGAAGAAGAAGAATAGGAAGAAGAAGAGGAAGATGAAGAAGAAGAGGATGATGAAGAGGAAGAAGAAGAATAGGAAGAAGAAGAAGAAGAAGAAGATGAAGAAGAGGAAGAAGAAGAAGAGGAGGAAGAAGAAGAATAGGAAGAAGAAGAGGATGATGAAGAAGAAGAGGATGATGAAGAAGAAGAGGACAAAGAAGAGGATGAAGAAGAAGAAGAAGAAGAAGAATA